TGAAAAACCTGTGTGCATCAAAGGACTCACTTTCACAGAGTGAAAAGGCTTGGGAGAAAAGACTTGCAAATCATATACCTGGTAAGGGGTTAATGATCAGAATCCAGCGTTTTGTTGTCTTCCTTTGATTCCCCTTCGCACAAACTGTGCTTTTACAAATTGAAGGTTTGTGGCAACCCTGCGTTGTCAGGTGATGGTTAGCATTCTTTAGCGATACAGTATTTTAAATTAAGGTATGGGCACTGCTTTTTTAGACATGATGCTGTTGTACACTTAATAGACTGTGGTACAGTGTAAACATCACTTTTGTATTCAGGGGAAAACAAAAAAACTCATGTAACTTGTTTTCCAGTGGTATTTGATTTATTTAATCGTCTGGAACTGAACCCAAATTATCTCCAACGTGTGCCTGTACCCAAAAGAAATTATAGATGCAAACAAATGTCAATACACCAGTGTCTCTGGGACCACTGTTCACAGAGGCCAAAAGATAGGAAAAAACCCAAATGTCCATGAATAGAGGAACAAATAAACAAAAAGTGGAATGTATATACATACAATGGAACAGTATTCAGCCATGAAAAGGAATAAAATTCTAACACACGCTACCACATGGATGATCCTTGAAGATATGATGCTCAGAGAGATAAGCCGGGCACAGAAAGACAAATATCATGTGATTCCACTGACAGGAAGCACCTGGAACAGTCAAATTCATGGAGACAGAAAGTAGGATCATGGTGACCAGGGGTAAGGAGTGTTTAATGGGGCGGACCTTCAGTGTGGGAAGATAGAAGAGTTCTGGAGGTGATGGTGGTGGGACGCACAGCAGTGAATGTGCCGCCTCTGAGCTGTGCCCTTAGAAATGGTTGCGGCGGTACCTTTTATATTACATATCTTTTATGTTACATATGTTTTGCTACAGTAAAAACGCGATATGTCAGGAGAGCTGATGCTGGTGTCAGGAACACTGCGTCCACCGAGACGTCATCTCCTGCCATGCAGGGCTTTCTCTGCGTGACTGTAGTTCCTCGGTTGTTAAAAATAAAAGGAGGAAGGCATAGGGTAAAGAGGATTCTGAGGGTATTTTGCTCAGATTTTGTCCTAAGATATTCTAAGAGTTGTCTCATTCGTGGAATATTGCTTTTGGTTTGGAAAGTATGTAAATGATGATGGAATCTTGAGTTGGAAGGGACTCAGGAGGTCACCTTCTCATCCCCGCCTGCAGATACCGTCTCACTTAAATCACCCGAGGTGGATGGCAGTCTATCTTCTTATGAAAAAGATCTCTTCATATTACATTTCAGCTTTAAGCATTTCACTGACATGAGACTACCCTTCATAGATAACCTCAAACAGTCACTCTGACCAGAAGAAATTCACAGAGCGCCCACATGACAATGCCCTGACTTGGGCACCGTGGGGCCCAGAAGCAGACGGTTATCAGCGAATGAGGTCACTGTCCTCACGCCTCATGGCCCAGGGAGGGGCTGGTTCATCCCGAGCATTGTCTGAGGCCCTACTCTGACCCCACCGACCGGTGGCGGGGGGGTGCCTCCCGGCAATCATCGTCCAGTACAGAGCACGGGTGAGACCTGAAGACCAAGGGTCACCGCCCGGCCACCTCCTCCCCAGGCGTGGAATCCCGTTTCCTCTCACTCCATCCAGGCATCATTTTCCAACCATTCAGTCCTCTTTGAACCCTCCTCCATGAGCCCTAAGCATTTCCACAGGCTGCTGTTGCCCATCCCTTAGAAAAAGGCGTTGTTTTCTGGAAGGACTCCATGGAGTTTAAGAGCAGTGGGATAAAGGCCTGTGTAGCACAGCCGTTAAAATGGAACTACACTGTTTTCTTTCCAGTAACCCAGAACAGTTTCAGAATTCGCCGGGCGGACAAATTTGTCTTCCACTCCCGAAGGCCTCCCATCTGCAGGAGAGCTCAGAGGTCAGTGTTAGGACGCGATCAGCCTCCAGTTGGGAAACCTCCTGCGGTGCAAGGTGTTGCAAATACGCCTCTAGTGTATTGACCTTAGCAGCTCAGGTTTCTGGCAAATTCCCATTTTCCATTTTCAGAGTTAGCATGTGTGTGTGTTTGTGTGTGTGTGCGTGCACACATGCGTGTGCGTGCTCAGTCACTTCAGGCAAGTTTGACTTTTTGTGACCCCATGGACTGTAGCCCACCACGCTCCTCTGTCCATGGAATTCTCCAGGCAAGAACACTGGAGTAGGTTGCCATTTCCTCCGCCAGGGGATCCTCCCAACCCAGGGATTGAACCCACAGCTTCTGTATCTCCTGCGTTGCAGGTGGGCTCTTTACCCGCTGAGCCTCCTGGGAAGCCCAACATCTGTTTACATTATTTTATTATCTGGTCACTGAGCAAAAAATGTTTATCTGGGGCAAGAACTGACTCACACAGTGAACAATGGTTTATCAAGTCATTTTGTCATTTTATTCATTGCTCCGTTGATGTCTATTACCTCTGATCCATCTGTCAATTTGCTTAGATGATTCCCATGTGTGTCATTTGAGACAGATTCCTCTAGATGAGGAAACTGGGGCTTAGGACGTCGTTTTCCTAAACAAGTCAAACTCAAATCCTTGTCTTTGGTCTTCAAATACATGACATCATTATAGAGCCAGCGTGCGCAAGAATTCCAAGTGTCAAATAGGTCACGGGCACGGAATGACTTTGCAGAAAACAATGCTTGTTTCTAAGGGATGGGGGGAGTGAGATGAAGCCTGGACCGGCAGGGGAAGACCATCCAGGGTCCCATCCATCCGGGGGCTCCTGAGCGTGGTGCTCATGTTTCTCCATGACTCGCCCGGGCTAATCGGATGGTGCTGAGTACTGGCAGGAAACCCGGAGGAGTGGGTATTGATGTAAAGATTAACTTAAACGCTGTTATAACACACAGCCCCTAGTTGAGCTGTTTAATCTGTCCTTGTTATCTGTCACGTTGCTGGATGACTGAAAGCAGCTGCATCGCCGATCCGCAAAGTGGGGCTGCTCCCTGGGTGATAATTGACCACACTGGTATTTCTATTCACGGGTTTTTAAAAAGAAGGTAAAGTGGGTTGTGGCCAAGTACAGCATTTGATTGTGCTCACAAATGCGATAATCAGGTTTGGATGTACAACAGAGAGCCTCCCACGAGTGCTGGGCGCCCATAACCGCGGAAAACCCCGGGCCTCTGTCCCCAGACCGCTGTGTTTGTTGTGAGATGGCGTCGGCTGTGCCCACTGGAACTGTTTGTTCCGAAAGAAAGTTTTACGTGAAAAGTCACACAAAGAGAACATTTTGCTCCCTGCATTTCCTTCCCTTCCTGAGTCAGTGTTGGCATTTGAGCATGGGAGGCGGGAGCCCCTTCAAGTCCCAGAGAAAGTCATTTCCAGGCTGGGCTCCTAAGGTCTGCATGTGAGCTTGTCCAGTTCTCAGCAGGGCAGACACTGAGACCCACCAGGGGGAGACTCATCCAGGGGAGACCCACCAGGGTGAGACCTCTCTAGGGGGAGACCCATCCTCCATGGGGAACCCCATCCTCCAGGGGGAGACCCACCCTCCAGGAGGAGACCCATTCTCCAAGCGAAGACCCACCAGGGTGAGGTCCATCCAGGGGGAGCCCCACCCCCCGGGGGGAGACCCATCCATGGGGAGACACACCAGGGGAGACCTGGGTCCTGATGGGAAAAAGCCCCACTGTCTTGCATCTGACCAGCTCCAGGGACATCTTCGCAGCTCAGGGCACCTTGCCCTCCTTATGTGGGACTCAACTCTCACTGGAGCAGAGGCTCTGGGACTTGGGACTGGCCTGGGGTGGAGGGTGCTGGGCAGACATGGGTACGGCTCTGCTTCTGTTGCTTCTGAAAGTCAGAAAGCCCGTCAGCCTCCTTTCTTCTCACATCGTCTGACGTCTCCATCTGCGGTGCGTGCGCGCTCAGTGGTGTCCGACTCTGCGACCCCGGGGGCTGCAGGCGTCTGGCTCCTCTGTCCATGAGCCTCTCCAGGAATGAAGGAATGGGTGGCCATTCCTCCTCCGGGAGATCTTCCCAACCTGCGATCGAACCCGCTTCTATATCTCCTGCATTGCAGGTGGGTTCTTTAGGGCTGGGCCGCCTGAGAAGGCCTCCATCTGTGAAAAGATGCTGGTATTACCCACCGTGTGGGTTTACTGTGAGCTCCCGAAAGGGGTCCCTCGAAGCCATTGCCTCTCAAAACAGCCACATCAATGTCATGAGCGGTTCTCACATTTATAGTGTTTATTACATCTTTCTTCCCTGTGGCTCAGCTGGTAAAGAATCTGCCTGCAATGCTGGACACCTGGGTTCGATCTCTGGGTTGGGAAGATCCCCTGGAGAAGGGAAAGGCCACCCACTCCAGTATTCTGTCCTGGAGAATCCCATGAACTCTATAGGCCATGGGGTCGCAAAGGGTCAGACATGACTGAGCAGCTTTCACTTAACTTCATACCTTTCTTCCTTAGGCTTTGAATCTTGGAAGTCCACTTTTCAAGGTAGAACACAGCAGAACAGTGTGATTAAAGTGGGTTATGTGTAAAGAGCTGGGCTTAGTTCTCTGCCCTTGACCTTGTGGGTGGTGGGGTGACCCTGTGTGTGTAGACGCCACTGTCTGCTCTAGACCGGCCTTGAGTGTTGGGGCTGGGGGGATCTTGGGGCTTTTTAGGAGGTGACTGAGGGGCATAATCGCCCTCCTGCCTCTTTCTTTGCCCCGGGGGCCTGCAAGCTGCCGTTGCCTCCATCGATGCTCGGGTGGCTAAAACGCCGCGGTCCCCGTGAGCTCTCTGCTTGCAGGAACATCTGAGAAAGCAGTGGGTGAATTGGGGGGTAGTCAGTGTGCAGCCTCCAGCTCACGTCCGCTTATGCAGGGAGCACAGAATGCAGAACCTTTTAGGCAATTGATCTTCCGTCTCTATTTCTATGACTCCCATCACCATGGAATCTCAGATCCCGGCAGGCGCGGGCTAAAAACAGAAGCCGGGGGCGGGGGGAGTGCCCTTCCTGACTTGATCACCGGGAGTTCTGTTCTTCTGGGAACAAAGTAGGAGCAGAAGAGTGACCTCCTCCTTCCGGGCGCCAGAGGAGGGCCCGGGCTCCAGGCCTCAGGCTGGGCTGGCTCTGAGCCGCGCCAGCCTTCAGGAGGGCGTGCTGGTCCAGGGGGCCAGAGCTGGCACCCAGCTCAGGCCTGGGTGCCTGGGGGTCCTGCTTGTCCACGCGTGTGCGGGTGGGGGAGGTCGGCCAGGAGCCAGATGCGGTGTGGGGGCTGGGGTGGCGGCAGGGGGCAGGGGACACACACGGCCCTGTCTTCTGGGGGAGAGCAGGCCCGTCTGCGTGCAGGGTCATCGGAAACCAGGGCTAGTGGGGGCTGGGGTGGCGGCAGGGGGCAGGGGACACACACGGCCCTGTCTTCTGGGGGAGAGCAGGCTCGTCTGCGTGCAGGGTCATCGGAAACCAGGGCTGGGCGGGTGGAATGGTGGAGTCACTGCAGGAATACCGTGGGGCCCCAGGCGTCCTGGGGGCTGAAAGGAGAGAGTGGCATGAACCAGGCTGACCTGTAGATGTGGGCAGAACGCTGGGGGGGATGAAGTGACCAGAGAACCAGAGGGCCACCTGTGGGCTTGTGGAGGGGCCCGGGGCCGGTGGACAGCCCCCCCAACCCTACTCAGGGCTTGTCGTCCCATGCACACTTAAGGGGCTCAGACCTTGTCCCCAGTCAGCAAGTAAAGGAGATTCTGGAGGCGTCCACCAAGCCAGCAGGGCAACATGGGTGCAGAAGGTCTCGCCCAGAGACATCACTGACCGGAGGCTTTCAGTGTCTTAGGTGTGAGGCTTCTCCTGGGACGTGAAGGGCTTTTAGCCATTGGTCAGTGCTCTCTCCAAACAGTCATGCCTTTCCCACACCCTGCACACTCACTTAAATTCATAGCTTAGTTCTCTCCTGGGAGAAGGACCGCCTCTCTGCAGAGTTGTGTTTTCAGATTTTTTCATCATATACAAGGTCTTTTCGATCCATGGTTTCTGGTTCCGTGGCACATGGCTGGAGGGGCGGGTGTTTTAGCTGCTGTCTGACGGTGCAGGCCAGGAACCAGCACCTGGGCGCCGCTGGCCGGCGGGAGCCGCTGGAGGAGCAGAGTGCTGTTAGTGTAGAGCTAAGGGAGGTCGAGGCTGAGACTGCCCGGGCCCTGTCCCCGCTCTGCAGGCCCAGCTGGAGGTCACGGGGTCAGAACCCTACGGGCTGTGTGACTGTCCTCATCCCTGCCTTTCCTTCTCCCACGCTCCCGGGGTGGGGTTTAGCGAAAGCCTTTCCCAGCTTGTGGAGGACAGTGTGATGACCTGTTGTTCAGTCACTCACACATTAGTAGTAGTAATGATTTTATTGTTGTTCTTCACTTGCTAAGTCATGTCTGACTCTTTGCGACCCCATGAACTGCAGCACACCAGGCTTCCCCGTCCTTCACCATCTCCCGGATCTTGCTCAAACTCATGCCACCCAACAGTCTCATCCTCTGTCGTCCCCTTTTTCTCCTGTCCTCAATCTTCCCCAGAATCAGTGATGGGCTCTAAGATCATTTGTATTTTGTACTTTTAAGATACCTGGAAGAGCCCAACATCGAGTGATCACGTTTCCTCCAGATTTCCAGGCCTGGGGCTGTTGCTTTTCTTTCCTGGATGGGCTCCCAGCGCAGCCAGTGGCTCTTCCCGTCTGGACGGTGACTCAGGTCAGACATCTGTGGAAAGCCATACCTTCCAGGCAAAGCTTTCTAAGAAGGAGTTGTGTTGAGTCTGGTTGCGAAAACCACCTGAGTAGACTTTCAGGGTGAGAGCTGACCGTGCGAGCCGGCTCTGGACACTTATCTGAGCCCTGGGGCTTGAGCCATGTCCCCTGATGTCCTGAAGCTCTAGTATCCGGGGCCTGTGAGCGTGAGCATGAGCGTGAGTGTGCCTGGAGGTCTGGGAGGACAGCGAGTGCAGACGCGGCCTTAGGGTGGCCCTAAGCCAATGTGACCGGTGTCCGTAGGAAGAGGGAGAGTCAGACAGACAGACGCAGACAGAGGCGATGAGAAGACGCGGGCAGAAGGGGGTCACCTGCGAGCCGAGGGGTGTCCAGAATCTGGGGAGGAGGCAGGAGCAGGGTCTCCGTCACCGCCCCCGGGGAGCCCACCCTGCTGACACCCCCCCTTGGACTTGCGGCCTCCAGGCTGAGAAAGCGCGTTTCTGTGACTTGAGCTGGCGTTTGCAGCACAGCCCTCGGAAATGACTTCACTGACCATGGGAGTCAGTGGCGCAGATCAGGCTGGCATCAAGCCGGCTGGCCCCCGGGCCACTGAGAACGTCTCACAGCCCCTTCGCCAAGACGTCCAGGGGTGTGTACTTCCAGCAAACCTCTACTGGAGACACCACATTCAGCAGGTGGGTTGTCCTTTGGAGAGACGACCCACATTCAGCAGGTGGGTTGTCCTTGGGAGAGACGACCCACATTCAGCAGGTGGGTTGTCCTTGGGAGAGACGACCGTGTTTAACATGCTGCCTGTCTGGTCCCACCCGCGCCTCTGGGGTGGTTTCAGGAAATCCAGGGGCAGATCTGGGAAGCTTCCCGTCAATAACTACTGAGTGGTTGCCTTCACTTCGTCTTCAAATTTCTGATCTTTCATCAGTTTGGTCGCATCCTGCGTGAAGAAAGCTTTTCATCAAATTTGTCCGTTCTTCTGCCTTTTGTTCTGGCTCTGTTAAAGTGCTCGACTAGGATCACTTTCAGTTTCATCGCTTGGAAAAACCCTGATAATTAGATTTAAATCATAAAATATGCTAATGCATGCAGATAGACGCAGGATAGAGATTTCAAAGGCAACTTAATGGGTTCTTCGCTGGCAGGAACAATGCGGAGCCACGTGGATAGTGGCTTATCCGTTCTCAGAGGTTACGTAAGAGGAGCCCAGAGCCGCCAGGCCGGAGAGCTGGAGGCTGCATGGCTTGGGCGGTGGGCGTGTGATGACCCTTCACTCCCAGATGCCCTTGGGGCATGTCCAGCCCTGTGCCCAGGCCATTTTGTGCTGCCAGGCCTCGTTTCTGCACCCAGGGGTGCATGCGTCATATGCCGCAGGGGGTTTTGGGGGGGGGTCTCAGCATGGCCCTGCCCTCAGGGGACCACTTTCAGGGGACAAAGACAATGGACATGGAAGCCCCACCGGCTGGGTCACAGGGGCTCCTGCCCACCCAGGGCAGACGGACGTGTGTGGGGGGAGATGCTGAGCCTGCAGAGCAGAGTCTCCTCCTAGGAGAGCAGACGCCAGCCCCACCGGGGAACCGACGGCCAAACGAGCATGGCCTCGTGGGCTGCCCGTCTGCCTGCACCGCCCGACCCTGGAAACCTGCCGGTCGCGGAGGAGCCCCGCGCTGCGGCCAGGGAAGGGTGTCTGGGAGAAGCGGGCGGGGCGGGGCTGGGGCCGGGGTGCTCTGCGTCTCTCTCGGGACTCGGGAGGCCTGGAACCTCGGCGTGGGGGCGGCGGGGGGTTCCGGGCCGCAGCTGCAGCCACCAGTGCCTTGTGTCAGAAGGTGGGGTTTTAGGGAGCCTCTCGTGTGGGGCTAAGGACGAGGACACGGCCTGTCGGGAGGGCAGGGACTCGGGCATGCAAGGCCAGCGGCGGACAGGCCGACACAGGGTCCCAGGAAGCTCGGGGTCTAGATCCACTTTCCTCCCCAGGTGGAGAAGGAAGGACAGCGGTCAACTCTCCAGCCCTGAGAGCTGGCCAGCCTCGCCCAGAGGGGCCTGTGGGTACAAACAGGTCTAATGCCTGATACGCAAGGAAGGGGAGGGGAGTCACGGAACAGAAGTTGAAATTCCAGCACCTGGCCCTGACCTCCCGATAAACATCTCACCCCCCGCACCCAAAGTCACCGCTCATTCTCCAGCCCTTCCGGTTGGAGCATGGTGTCCACGGAGGAAGAAGGCTTGGTTCTGCACCAAGCGGACCCAAGTGCTTGGAACAGAGCATAGGCTCCACGTGCCCGTGTACGGATGGAGGGAAGGAAGGAAGGGGTGAATGGAGAGAGATTAGGGTCCTGCTGCAGACAGAGCACAACTTCGGTGGGAGGCCCACCCGGAGAGAACCGCACAGTGGTCAGGCTCTGATCATATCGAGCTGGGTTTCCGTGTCCCAGGACCCGGACTGCCTCATTTCCTGCTTCTTCCTTACGTGGCTCTGTGTGGGGGGCAGCCCAGCAGGTTTATTAAAACTGTGAGCTGTCTACTGAACCCCTTTAATGCAGCTGTGGTCCCTTCAGCAAATGGGGCCTCAGCACAGCAAACTGAAGCCCAGCCCTCGGGGGTCCCGGCCTTGTGTTCAGAGTGGCTGACCCCCTGCAGAATGAGAAGGAGGAACCTCAGAAAGTCACCTCTCCTAATACAGGGCCAGGGCCTTGTCATGTTTCTCTCACTTTAAATCAGAAGCTAACAGCATGTGCTCTTAGGTCTTCTAAGCAGACTTTCCCCCTGTTCCTTTAATGAATTTGGTCTTATCATACTGTGACCGCGCTTGGCAGGGGTGCAGTCACCGTGAGCTGAATGTGATTCCTCCGAGGGCGCGCCTCACTGCCCACCCACTCCTCGGACCCTTGGCAGGACGAGGGAGGGGAGGAGTCAAAGAAAGTGCCAGCTGATGACCACGCCCTGGAGTTGAAAGCCGTTGCCCTCAGCTGCCTGTTCTGCCTCTTAGTTCAGACGCCCCCAAGTCACTTCACATCCCGCGATAAAACAGTAGAAGCTTCCATGTTCGAGCATCCCTGTGATTGTCTGAAAGGCCGTTCTGTCTCTCTGTTGAGATTTAATTATTTGCTGCAAAACAGCATCTGTGAATGAGTGTTGCCCAACTCGTGCTGGAATAGAAACGATCAAATATTTGGTAGCCAGAAGCCAAGTGGTGCTGGTTACGCCAAACACACAGCCTTCCACTCTGGCTCTCGGGAAACCAGACAGGAGGGCGACGCAGGGGAACGAGGGGGCCTGCCGCTGAGACAGGCGGTGATGGTCGCGCTGGTGACCTCACAGTGTACGTGGTTCAGCAGCTCTGCCGGTGGAGCCCGTGCACACCCACGCACACACCCACGCACCCACGCACACCCACGCACACACACACACAGTCCAGTGTGGGCGCGTCTGAGTTCAGGCACCTGCAACCTGCCCTCAGCGCCGCTCGCCCCGGGAGCCACGCCTCTCCACCTTTGCCACCCTCCCCCCCCCAGGCGCGCTTCTGAAGCCCGCTGTGCGTGTTTCCGTCCTGAGGAAACGCCTGAACTTCTCCGTAACTCTTCGGCACGTCTCCTTTGTCTTTTGTTTCTGTTACTTGATGCAGGCGTATACATGCCCTGCTTTTAAAAATGTGTGATTTTGTGTTGACGTGTGTTTGAGATATACCCTTGTGTAAGTTTAAAGTCTGCGTGGTGGCTTGCTGTATTCACATATTGCAGTATGATGACCACTGAAGCATCAGCTAGCGCCTCCAATGCCGAATGCTTAACGATAGAAAGTAAAATTGTGGTTACTGGAGCCTCGGGCGCAGGAAGAGGTGTTCTTAAGGTGCACATTTGCAGCCAGTAGATAAATACGTCCTGGAGCTCTAGGGCCCGCTGCTGCACTTGCAGGCAGCAGGACTGGACACGTGTATGCATGGCTGGTCCCTCTGCCCTGCACCCGCACGTCTCCTTGGAGATGACGTCTTTGAGCCCCGAGGCTCTGCTTCGTCTGGAGTCTCCTGGTTCCTGCAACATGTGGGGCCTTCCCCAGCAGTCCTGAGGGCGTGAGGCTTGGCGTGCACGCCGTGTCCCCTCTGAGGTCGCCCTGCAGGGGCCAGCTCAGCCTCGGGAAGCACAGTGCTTCTCCCATGGGGGTCCTGCCAGAGCGGCCACCCCCAAGCAGGTTTCCCAGCCCCATGTGTCAGCTTCTCTGAAGCCGGAGAGCGACATCTGGAGAACCGAGTCACCCAGCACCCAGACTTAATGAGTCATGGTTCGNCACCCCCAAGCAGGTTTCCCAGCCCCATGTGTCAGCTTCTCTGAAGCCGGAGAGCGACATCTGGAGAACCGAGTCACCCAGCACCCAGACTTAATGAGTCATGGTTCGGAGCGTGAGCAGCGGCGCAGAACCCAGCCACATGGCGGAGTCACGGCTCCAGGTAAGCCCGGCGTCTCCTCTTTCAAAGTTCAGCAAGCATTCAGACAAGTCAGTGTTTCCTGAGTGAGTTGGAACCCGGTTTTTCTGCCATGGGACTTGCTGGCCCAACAAACAAAGACCAATCACTGCTGGTTTTACTTTTCTCAGCACTGGGTCAATGTGCTGCTAGGCACCTGGGTTGCCCTCACCCTGAAACGCCCCTAAACCTTACCCTGAAACACCCCTAACCCTCAACCCCTGAAACACCCCTAATCCTCACCCTGAAACACCCCTAACCCTCAACCCCTGAAACACCCCTAACCCTCAACCCCTGAAACGCCCCTAACCCTCACCCTGAAACGCCCCTAACCCTCACCCTGAAACGCCCCTAACCCTCACCGTGAAACGTCCCTAACCCTTACCCTGAAACACCCCTAACCCTCAACCCCTGAAACACCCCTAACCCTCACCCTGAAACGCCCCTAACTCTCACCCTGAAACACCCCTAACCACCCTGTGATGCACAGGACTGGATCTTCGGGTGAATCAGTTTGCATGTCTACTTCACAGTGATTAATTGCACTGGGGCGTGTGAATATGGTGGGCTTTGGTTTCTGACATACAGATCTTAAAAGAAGGAAATAGAGGTAGGTAAGTGTGAAGGAGAGAAGGATGGGAGGGAGGGAGGGGCGTCTGGGAGCCCAGAGATAGTGACAGCTGAGAGGGGACGAAGCTGACAAAAGCAGGGAGTGAACTGGCGAAAGCAGAGCGACAGAGTCAGAAGCAAATACGGCCTAGCAGCTGTGGCTGACGGGATGGGCTCCCGGACCCGCGTGAACACGTGGAGGACTCTTTCTTTGAGGAGGGACCACTTCCCAGATGCCGTGTGGTTGGTGTCGACCTTCGTGGGTTGCAGGTTCTTGGCGGGCTGGCAGAGAGGTCGCGCTGGGATTTCTGCTGCAGGAACATGTCAAGGACCCCAGGCGGCCGGCCCGCTCTTTCCTGAGGGAGCCGAGCACAGGAGGCTCACTTCCCGCTCCCGGGCGTCTGAGCCCCTGGCCACTCTGCTCCCATGGGAGGACCGCGGCACAGGTACCTCGTCGCCGGAAACCAGTGGGCAGGCTTGGCGGCCCCCTCTCCAACACGAGCGGCCAGCCCCTGTGCTGATAAGGGTCAGTATCCCAAAGGGCGCGATTTGTGTACAAATCAAATACAAATCAAAGTCCATCACTCTCCCAACGGGAGTCTCTCTCA